TATTATGGCAACCAATGCTGGTATCACAGTGTGTGGGGCAGTGGCGTATCCGGAATTTAAAGAAGAGGGTTCTGAAAGAGGGTCCGGACCATGATAATGCGCGCCACCATGGCCACCTTTTCAGTACTTTGGATGCCCGGAAATGGAACTTAAATTGCCCTTTTACATTGTTTATATTTGACATATTGAGTAAAAAAGAAACAGTGTTACTTTTTATTATTTCACACGCATGTTCTTGTTGTTACCAGAACTTAAAAGCATCCAGCATCGCCAGTTTTGAACAGGCGTGCAAGATATTTTGTACACATAAACAAGAGGTGGTTTTCAACAAGGACTGTACATCATTGAAATAATACCACTAATAGGACACGTCGCATGGATATCGCGTTCGGTTAACAATGTGTTCTAAAGAACCAAAGGTCATGATTTCGAATCGTGTCTTGGTATTCAATTTTCAATTTTGTTTTTCAATTTTAAGACATTTTATTTTCTCAAATTGTGACCCAAGCTCACAAACGGGCTGTAAACTCGCACTGCACTGTATTGAGAAACAAACCTCAATACGCAGAATATGGCGTAGAATGTGAACTTTGTGTGAATTGGGTTTTTGTGTAATAAATAAAGTATAATTATTAATCTTACTATTCCTGAAGTTTGAGTTTAAAATTCCAACTGTAAGAGGTAAAATTTAGCCATTTTCGGATGGGAGCTAATGAAAAATGAATAGAAACCTGCCGAAAATATAAGCATTTTTCTCAAAACATGATTTAAGAAAGTTGATAAGATGACAATTATTCAAATGGTCATAACTTTGCTTCCAGACACCCGATTGAGTTCATTTAACTGTCATTTTAAAGTAAATGATATGTGTTATGCCATTATAACAAAAACTCATTTTGGCCTGAGGACGAGTTTACCAGCCTGTTTGTGAGCTTGGGTCACAATTGTACATTGAACATGCTAATTATTTGTCTTAGCTCTTATGTGCATAAGCGAAAATTTGCTATTCACGTGAATAAATTCGCCTATTGGAAGACAGCCTTTACGCCAAAAAATAAAAATGATAAGAGGTAACCTCAGTTTAATGCCCGGACTAGTGAGCGTTTGCTCTTGTTTTTTTAAAAGAAATAGTTCCGTCATGTTGATAACTTTGACGATAGCTCGCAGCAGCTTTATATCTGAATAATTACTGTCCTTTTTAAATAACATTGTTATTCATTAAGTTACAATCTCTTCCTTATTTTTTATTTCAATTATCTCTCATCTTGATATTTTCCCTGGCGAATGGTGCGAAGGTCTGGATCTGCACCTGCTTCATCATGCCCATATTGGGAAATTAAAGGTACAATATTTGTCATGGAAAATTTTATATGTAAACAGAACATGAAGGATTAATTGTTTCATAAAATTACTACACTATCACTGCAGTGTTATCACTTGAATTGTTACACTGTGAAACTGTCCCCAACACTTCTTGGAGAGGCCACGATTCAATCGACCAACCAGTGTAGCCAAGAGATGTCGCCGAGAGCGTGTAGCGATTTTTTGGATACCGGAGTTGATCCATTCCATTCTTTATTGATTGATTGACATGTCATTTCCCTGTACAGAAACCTGTTGATTCCTTGTAAAGGCCATACGACGATACGATTGGTATTAGGTTTTTTGGTAGTAAAATATCTGTCCGTGAAAACGAAATTGTTCCTTTTTTTCATCTCATAGTAAAGCTACATTTGCACTAGACACGATAACGACACTATAAAAATGCGCTCAGTTTTAAAAACCTTCTGGACTGAACATTTGAAGGTTTGTATGAAATGCATGGTCCAGATTTTAGCAAAATTATTTATACTCTGTTATTCATACTCTGTTATTCATATAAGCTGTAATATAGCAGTCAAAGATCATATAGCTTTTACGATACAAGTTTTCATAAGTGCTATATATCATTTAACGATTCAGACATTTGTTCTGATAAAACTGATTTAGGCTATATAGTATGGCAAAGATCAAATACAAAATACAAATTTTTATTATAGGTTTTATAGGTAACAAGGATCGAACCTCTGTCACAATATACAGGCTTTCATGCAGGATCATAACAAGTATCAAATTTTCTTGTAGGCTATATACAGTAGCAAATAAAGAATCAGATATCTGTTTGAAATACATGTAGGTTAATGGAAAAAGAATGTAAGACATCTGTTCTAAAATACATGTGATATTCTTGTTCGCATTACTAGTCGTTTCTAGATCTGGTCTACGTCTAGCCAAACAAACATCGCGCTTGTCAAGGCTATGTATACATTTTCGTAGCGATACATACGCAACTCTATGTGTACACCTATCAGTTTTGGGTACACATAGTTGGGTGGATCCAGAGAAAAATCTAGTTTGAGGTGAATTGGTTTGGATTTATTTGGTGTAAACACCAAGGATAGCCCACAAAAGTCTAGAAGAAGACTTATTTCCAGTGGGGTCCTTCAGGTGGTGATTGGGCAGCACACCGGGAGACAATCCCCTACTCTTTTCCGAAGAGTGTACTGCATTTTTTTAACGTGCACATGGGCCATAAATGCCTCATTTGAAAGACGGTGCACAATTGTAAACTTGTATTTCAGACCTCCAGCTGAAATACTAGAACAGTGATGGGAATTGAACAGGGAATTAAGAGATCTCAACGGTTCAGCGCACAGACAGTGGCTACCACCAATTTACCCGACTGAGCTAAGCTGCTCTCTATCACTATTTCACTTCACATCAGGAGGTAATAATGATAATAGTTGGATTCATATAGTGCATCAAGCAAAAAGCCTCTATGAGCTTTGGTGATTGAGCGTTTTGGTCCCCGGTTCAGTTCCCATTGCTGCCTCTCCTTGTGTTTCAGATGGAGGGCTGGATTACAAGTTACAATAGCGCACCGTCTTTCGGATGAGACGTTTAAGCCGTTGGTCCCGTTGATGGATAAACCGGCATTTGACAACATACCTGTAGCCCGGGTAAAGTTACACTTTGTCAGAGTTATGCCAGTGTGAACACGGCTTTATATACGCTTTTAAAGTAGATATACAGTATATCAGACAGCCTGTGAGTCTCAATTTTAAGACTAGATTCTAGATAGTGTGGTTGAGGTAAATTTACAACAAAAAACTGGCATTGGGAGAACGTGTCTATAGCCTACTGTAGGTAGAGTTGCAGTTCGTCAGAATTACCGCAGTGTGAACACGCCTTTATATGCGTTCGAAGTAAATATATTAGACTGTCTGTCAGACATGCACTCTAATTTTAAGACTCTATTCTAGAAAGTGTGGATGAAGTATTGACAGAAAAACCGGCATTGGAGAACATGTTGCAGTTTGTCAGAATTACTACAGTGTGAACACGCCTTTATACGCTTTTAAAGTAAATATATCATACTGCCTATGAGACATGCACTCTAATTTTAAGACTATTCTAGAAAGTGTAGATGAGGTAAATTGACAAAAAAACCAGCATTCGGAGAACATGTCTGTAGCCTACTGTAGGTAGAGTTGCAGTTCGTCAGAATTACTGCAGTGTGAACACGCCTTTATAAAGTTAATATATCAGACTGCCTGTGAGACATGCACTTTAATTAAAGGCTATTCCATATAGTGTCAATGAGGAAGAAAATGTAAACTAATTGTTTGATTGATAATGCTTTTATAGATTAGTCAGATGAGGTGTTACAACCTTAACCGGAGGGTATTTCAGAAAGTAGCTAATTATCAAAAATGGTATCTATAAAGTTATCTTTAATTAAGAAGAACAATGAACGTGCTCAAGATTGATTTTTCATTGGCTGTTTCTTGATATACTCACACCCTCTTGATCTATTTCGATAAACCGGTTTATGTCGAGCATCTCCATGATTAAGCTCAAGAGAGTTGGGAAAATAATTAGTAAATTGGTGTAATGTGTGGGGAAAAAAACTAATAGGAACAAATATCAATTAAAATAATGTACCTGCTCTGTATATTATTAGAAAAAAAATAATTATATTGCTTTTTTATATTACTATTGCTCCAGTTTCCATTGAAAATACTCCTGTTGTATACAGTCAGCGTGGCCACTTTGTCAAATGAAATTATGCCATTGGCTGGAGTAATATTGATGGTTAACTCATGCGCCACCTACTGAAAGCTCAGCATGGTCGAGAATTAATAAAGAGTTGCATCATGTCCTTTGACTCAATGAACTGCATGAACTAGTTGAAATAGTGCTTGGTCTTGGGGCTAGAATTTTTACTGTCTTTTTAATGTTGAAGTGAAGCCTTTAGTAATCATCACCTCGTAAATGTAGGGTTAATTAAGCATAATACTGATCATTTTGTACTTGAAATAATTCAATTTTTGCGAGCAAGAAAAAACTCTAGAACATACAGTTCATTTAGTGCTATTGAAAACTGTCTATATAATATGCATGTAGTATTTTCTACCTAGTCTTGTCCAGGCTATCAAATTGTATTTGACAAAAACATGTGACATGCCTAAATATGGTCATGATGACATCACATCATGACCATATATGGGCATACAATGGTTTTTTTGTCAAAGAAAATGTTGATAACCTGGACAGATTATTAACCTAAATGCTGGTCTCCATAAAATTGCTACAGAGCTCTTTCTGTGTTGCCACTGCATCACACTATGTACTGTAGCTTTCCCGACGTAGTCAATAAGGCTGCTGATTCAAACGATTCAATCTAATCAGTGTTGCTAAAACGATTAGGTGATAGCGATTTTATGGAAAACAGGCCTTTAGTGATTTTGGTGATGTATGAAGATGTTGTGAATTCTGTTTGTTGAGTGGGGGTGGGATAAGAAACATTATGATTTTTTTATATTTTGTCTATAAAATTTTGCCTCAAACATTTTGCTTAATAATATAATTTATTATTAATGAGCAATTAGTATATTGATATTCCATACACTTTAAGGTGTATTGCACATTTTAGATTTTCTTATTTTTTTCTTTTGCAGTTATATTTATATTCCAGTTGGTGGCTCGAGGAAGGGTTTTGTTCGGCAAATGCTTGGATCTCTTCTGTGCTTTGCTTTTGTTTATTATTGGCATGGGGTCGAGACACACATCTTTTACTGGGCTTTGTTCAATTGGGTTGGTGTTGTCTTGGAAACCGTAACCAGCAAAGTTTTAAACAGTGAAACAGCCAAAGCTTATGTCTATGTAAGTACAGCAATTTTCTGTAGTTTCAGTTGTATATGATATGATATTATGGGGTTATTACAGTACATGATGTTTCTGTGGGATATTTCCATAAAGCGGTGGCAGATCCAGGAATTTGAAATAGGGTGGCCCTAGGGAGAGACTTTCACAGACGAATGAAATGGCATTCCCGGACATCTAATTTGAATTTATTTTTATTTATTTTTTTTAATTCTGATAAATTTACTGGGAGGTTCCCCTCCTCCCCCCCTGAATCCACCACTGTATAGTGTGCTAAATAGGTGAGAGGCCCAAGATCATTTGCATATAGTATTTTTACCTCAAAAAATGCCTCATGTTTCAAAAATGGGGTTAAGGCGAATCGATTGGCTGAGCGGTTAAGGTAAGGGTGCCGCAATCTACAGCTATAATATTGTCGCTGGTTTGAACGGCAGCGGATAAGGACTTTAAACCGTAGGTCAGTGTACGCAATTGGCTCATGTGCACTTTGAAGAATCCAGTACATCTTTTTTTTAGGTGAGTAGGGGTTACCATTGTGTACTGGTCTATCTCATTGTGGACTAGAGTTGCGCCTTCTTTGTCTGTGCATGATGACATGACAGGACCCAATAAGGAGAAGTAAGTTGTGAGAATTAGTAGTCAACATCGTCTCGGGCCGAATATTCAAATTTTAAAGTTGGTCCTCAATCTGGAAGAAGAATTTCCACCTCAAATCAACCAATTTAGGTGCTGCTGTGAAATATGACCATTATAATAATGTGTGGTTGGCCAGTTTTTATGCAGTTTTCAGTTGACGGTATCTCATTGAGTGATGCATTTATAAGCTTAAATTTTTTGTATTGCTGGGATGCATCTCGAAAAAGCAAACTTATATAATAAAATCTAACCTTGTGAATGACCATGTTTTGGACCCTGAAAAATTATTTATATTTAACATTTATCAAAACCCTTCAACTTTTCTTCTCCAACAAATTCCAACCTACTGGCTGTATAATCCTTGAATACTACAGCTCTGCACCCATTAATTATGAAGTAATCCTTATTACGAACACATTTACAGTTGAGGAAAACCAGGTATATGCATACTAGCAAATTCAGCTGGTGCCTTTCAGCTTTATTGTCTAGTATTGTTATTTTTATCGTCAAGGAATATCTTATCTTTAGTTAATTGTTATCTATTCACCTGCATGTACGGGCCATCCAGGGGCAGATTTAGGGAAAAGTTCAAAATGGCTTACAAATACTAAAGGTTATTCATAATAGTTTGTACAGTACTGAACATGAATCATACCATTATTAGATACATATTTTAACTGTATAAATTATATTACATCTACAGTAGGCCTATATGAAATTGGTTCCCACTCATTAATTCTGGGTCCTCGCCTGCCAGTCCTAAGTGAACTAAATCAATATGACATGTAGTAGCCCAGGAACCACTCCCACACAGTGAGTTACAAACACTATGGCGAGTCGAATGGCCGAGCGGTTAGCAGGGGCACCGCAACCTACCGCTATAATATCAGCGCTGGTTCGAATGGCACGCTCGCCTATGGTTCTGGTCGAAGAACAAGTCTTCTCGGATAAGGACTATAAACCGTAGGCCCAGTGTACACAATTTGGCTCATGTGCACTTTAAAGAACCCAGTACACCATCTTTCGAGATGAGTAGGAGGTTATCCCTGTGTACTTGTCCATACAGCCCTTGTTGTTTAATGGACCACCTAGGATAGTGATTAATTTCACTGATTGGCATATCCTTGGCGCTTGTGCCTAAAGAAATGAAATGAAAAAATGAGGCAATGCATGAATTTACTCTGTCTTCTTAAAGACTTGTATCTTATATCCACATTATTGAGTTTTGACCAAGAGAATTTTCCCATATATGGGCTTGATGATATTATATCCATATATGGGCATGATGGTGTCATATCATACCCATATACGGGCAAATCACAAGTTTTCTGTCACAAAAAATTTAATAGTGTAAATAGAGGTTTATATGGATTTTTTTTTAATGATTAATGGGTTCGATTTCAGGGTATTTTAAAATTTAAATATTCTCATTCTAGACATCAAAAACTAAGATTCTACTAAATCCATATTTATCGTTTTAGTATGGAAATATACAATGCTCTTGTCACTTTCATTATTAATTTTTTTTTTTATTTAAAAAAATAACTTAAGCTTGTCAACACAGATTTTCATTAATATTCGTAGGCCATTATCACTGTGAGAATTTGCAGCCATTTCTGATTCTGTCATCGTCATTATTGATCGTCTGTGTCTTGTTACCTTGTAGTGTTTTATCGCTACGAAAGCTGTCTACACTAAAACAATCAACAAGAAGATATTTAAACAAGAAAGAAACAAATAAAGCTTGAATTACACACACAACCTCATCCTAACCAAGCTGTGCATCATGTACTAGGGATGTTACTCCACAAAGATCCTAATGACTTGCATATTTCCATCCTAAACATACTATGATGAATATGGAATAGATATTTTAGACCACTAAATGTACTAATGACCTGTATAACCCCTTCCTAAATGCACTATCCATAGGATGCAATTACAAAGTGCCCAGAATCAACAATAAAGCCAATAATGATTGATGGTCTCAAAATCAGAGATTTACAAAAAATCAACAATAAAGCCAATAATGATTGATGGTCTCAAAATCAGAGATTTACAAAAAATCAACAATAAAGCCAATAATGATTGATGGTCTCAAAATCAGAGATTTACAAAAAATCAACAATAAAGCCAATAATGATTGATGGTCTCAAAATCAGAGATTTACAAAAAATCAACAATAAAGCCAATAATGATTGATGGTCTCAAAATCAGAGATTTACAAAAAATCAACAATAAAGAGAGGCTGAAGCATCATTTGCTTTCTTTTGATGAATGTAACTGGTTGTATGCCCAAGTCGCTGAAAATATTGATATGCATGATCGCGGTCGTAAAGTTAAAATATAAATGACGTATTGTGTACAGCGCCACCAGTGTTAATTTTACACGAATACATTGTTTACTATCGGAACGGCATGTATTTTCGCGAAGCGATAGAACTTTCGTAGATTTTATATGCCTTATAAAACTACAGAATTCGTTTTTGATATTTTTGTATTAAATTGTGGGTTTTAATAAAAAATCTTGAGATTATTAGAAAAGCTGGATATTTTAGGCTAGTGGCGGGAGAGCTGGAGGTTAGGGCGAAAAGCGGGAGTCTCCCGCCAAATGCGGGAGACTTGGTAGGTATGAGGAGACACTCCTGCATACCTAAACAGGCCGTAGATGTGCAGGGGTCTAGGCCTAACATTTGTCGAAAAATCTCAAATTTCCTTGGACGACAAGTCACACAAAGTTTGTGTGGTAAATTTCGAGACATCAACAATCCACTTAGAGTAACTTAAATTACTTTCAAAAGATCAAATACAGCAATTATGATGATCATTACAGCAATAACATGGGACAGCCTCCATAGCTATCTCTGCTGTGCCAGTCCATTGTTTACATCCAACACCCAAGTTGGGTCATGTGACGCCCATCACCGAATCCCTCTATTGCCATAGCCTCCTAGGTCCCAAAGCCCCTAGTTACGCCACCCCTCAGAAATGTCATAAAAAATAACCAGAATATACTTTTAATATAATAATAAAAATAATGTGTAGTACCTTTTCCATGCCTGGACCCGCCGCTGTACTTTGGGTACACCAATTCTAGATGACAACAACCAAGTATATAAAATTAATTTGAAGAAAATAGACAACATTTTACTTAATCATTTTATAAAATGTTATAATTTGATAATTATTAAGTGTGCAACACTTACCAACACATCTTCTGTCATTTTTTAGATCATCCAATGTTCATCTACGACCGAAAACTGGGCTGTGACCCATCGGTTGCCGACCATAGATTTTCAAATCTGTTAATTGCCGAGAAAATATTTTCTCATTCTAATTCCGATGGAAGGCTTTGAATAATTTTACTTAAATAAACAGTAAATGAGTTTAAATATTGAAATTTATTCTTCAGGTTTTATTAGCTCAACATTAGCAGCATATGTCTGAGTATGGTCATGATGGCATCACATCATGACCATATATAGGCACACTATGACCATATATGGGTTATACAACAGCTTTGAATAATTTTACTTAAATAAATAGTAAATGAGTTTAAATATTGAAATTTATTCTTCAGGTTTTATTATCTCAACATTGGCAGCATATGTCTGAGTATGGTCATGATGACATCACATCATGACCATATATAGGTACACTATGACCATATTCGGGTATACAACATTTTTGTCAAATTTGATAGTCTGTGCAGGGCTTACCTTATGTGTGACAAGTTGATTACATAGCTTTCTGCAAACATGTCACTGAGTTCAATATTAGCAAGCTTGTCATTAAATGCACAATTTCTAACCAACATTCTGGCAACCTTTTATCATATTGTTTTCTCAGTCTTTTTAATATTATCTGGCATCATGCCACGTCTAGAAATAAAATTCTGGGTCGTCTTTTTGTGATGGTTCAAAAGGCCCTGGGGCAGATTGCTGTAATAAAATATGATCTTAAAATATTAATCTTAACTGGTCGATTATTATTGCTGACTTTATCACATAGATATCACCCTGGTTCCCTGTAAGACCATCGCTATAATACAGACCTTGTCGATTATATGCATCATGCAAACCCACACACAAACTCGTTTCATGTGTTTAAGTAACATTTATTGGCCAATCAAAAACAACTTACAATATGTAATCAAAAACAATTAACAGTATGAATTTAATAAAACCAGGGAAAAGTTAAATTAATTTAACTGTTCCCTGATAAAACTTGTTAACTCTATTTTTTCAAAGACTAGTATACCAAATGTTTGCCATGAGGCATTTATCGTACATTACATTGTTTAGGTGTGCATCAGTACCGACATGTAGCGGATACATGTCCCTTATCCAGCAGGATTTGAACCA